AAAGCCCCAAGCTGCCCAATCCCAGGGGCAGTCAGTGCCTCCACACCCCGATTGGGCCTTTGCCACCATCTGTGAGCAGTGAGCAGAGTGCCACGGGTTGTGGGTGGCACGGGACGGGGGCTGAGTGTGTGGAAGACAAGTGCCAGGCCCCAGTGAGCATCACCACCCCCGAGCAGGCAGGGAGACAAGGCCCAGACACAGCCACTAATTCTTTCTTGCCTCAGACAAACAGGGTCCCAGGGTATCCTGCGTGCCAGGCCCAGGCTGGGCGCCAGGGGTGCGGCTGGGACCCTGACACAGGGAGCTGGTGGGCAGAGCTTGAACTCAAGGCATGGCACTTGGGGTAAAGGCCACAGGAGACGTAAGATGGTACTGGGAGCTCGGAGAGGAGGTGCCAGGGTGGCAGGACCTAAAGGCCACAAAGGCACTGCAGGAGGTCTTCCCCAGGTCAGGGGACAGTCCCACCTTGTCACAGTCTGTCCCTTCTGCAAGAAGCCCTTGAGATCTGGTACATTTCAGACATTCCACCTGGGTTCACGCGTGCACACCCCCCCCCCACACACACCCACTCTGACTTACACATGCTGACATACATCCTCTTGCATGCAGACACACTCGTACATGATGACATTGTCACACATGCTGACACACACATGGTGACATACGCGTGCTCACACACGCTGCCACTCACATAGTGGCACACTCACAAACAGTGACACACATGCTCCCGCATGCTGACATGCTCACTCAGAACACACTCACACTTATGCATGCACATTCACACCAAAGCTCACCCATGGTCACAGCCTCACACATGCACACTTACCATTGCTCAGCCACAATTCCTCATAGCCACACTTACTGCCTCAGAGGGCTCACTCATACTCACTCACCCACACGCACACATGCTGTTATTCTCACACCTTTACCCTCTCATCTCCAATTATTCACAGTCACGTACTCGCGCACAATTGTATGCACTCAGTTATTCACACACACACACTCAGAGCACTTGCGGCTCTTCTACCCTGGTGTGGATGCCTGGGTCAGGCTTGTGCCCCATCACCCATCTCAATGAAAACCCAGCTTGACCACCAGCTCAGGGTACAAGTGGGTGCCCCCAGGGCCCAGATGCAGGGGTGGCCAGGACAACCAGGCAGAGAAGACCCCAGGCTGCAGGGGCCATACCATCTCGAGCTGTGGGCCCTACCTGTTGTCATAAGTGTCCTTTTAAGAGGGAGGCAGGAGTGAGTTTTTGTAGCCCTCCTGATACCCTGATTTTGGACTCCTGTGTTCAAGAACACGAGACTTGATCTGTATTTGAAGCCCCCGTGGTCTTTTGTCAAGGTGGTGGCCCCGGGCAGCTCATACCAGCCCTGACCTGGCAGCCCCTGCTGGGTCCCTTCAGTGCTGGAACTACCCGGGCCCTCTGGGGTGGCAGGGGCCCTGTGTCACCCCTGACGACGATGCTCTGCTCCAGGGGTTTGGCCTTCGCCTCTTCCAGAAAACCCTGCCCTCCTGAGACTGGAGCCCACTGAGGTGGGGCCAGAAATGGATGAATATCCCCTCCAGGTTCTCAGAGTGGGGCCCCTCCACCCCTTGGGCCCTTCAGGAGGGGCTGTCGCTTTCGGTGCCCTGGCCCTCGCCCTCAGATACCTGGCTGATTGCCCCTCGGACAAGCACCAACTTGTCTAAACCTCAGCGGTGGATTGAGCTTAGGCTCCAGCTGGGCCCGGCCACATCCAGAAGGCACCTGACTTGCCAGGAGGGCTGGGAAATGTCCCCTGCCCCAGCCCTGGATCACTCAGGCAGCCCCTTTGTGGCCTCTCCATTCACAGGACTGCCCGCCCCCAGTGAGCTGCTGCCATGACTTTCATTGCCCTGTGTGTGTGTGTGTGTGTGTGTGTGTGTGCACGCGCCAGCCCCAGCTCACTCTCAGGGTCAGACTCCTCCTGCAAGTCACACCTGCGTGCCCAGAGCTCCCCAGGGGGCCCCAAGCTGCCCCCTGCGCCCTCTCCAGCTCTCACCCCGTGTCCAGTCTGTACCCAAGGGCAGGCTGGACCCAGTCCAACTCAAGGTTGGCTGGGCCCGGTCCCTCCCCCCTCTTTCCCTGGGGGTTACTGTGGCTTTGGAACTGGACTCCCCTCCACCCATCCATCACTCCCCACCCCAGCTCAAGCCCAGTATCCCAGCCTTCTGTACCTGGCGGGCTGTGGGCTGGCAGAGATGCAGCCTTAGGCTTTTTTCAAAGGCCGGTCACTCTCCACTTTTGCTTTCTTCTTGCTATCATCTCAGACCTTGCCATTCACCCCGTAGCTGACTGACACTAAGTGGACTTGTTGGTCTTGGACCTGGGGCTCTGGCTATGGAGACCTTCCTTCCAACTGGTCTCTGAACCTGCAGTGGGGAGGTGGGATGGTGGGGTTGACTGGGTCGTCCCCTGGGTCCCTGAGAGCCACACTCTGGTCCTGCCTGTGGGGTCTTGTCACCTCTCATGCAGGGTGACCCACCCGGCCCATGGGCCACGTTCCCAGGGGCCCTACCCCAGCGGTTGGCTCTGTGCCTCCCAGCATTATGAAATGGGTCCCACCGGCTTGTCAAGGCACCCATGTCCCTGAGGGAGATGGAGGCAGGGAGGGAAGGAAGGGCAGGGCAGCCAGGAGAGAAGACAGGCATCCACGATCTCCAGTGGGGGCGGGGGGTACTGAGTTGAACCTGTGCCCCAGGATCTGGAGCCCTGAGCTCCTGCCAGTGAGGGGACTTTATTGAGGCCCTGACTCCTGGCTCCCCGCCACTGCCCTTGCCCCAAGCCTGCCCAGCTCAGTAGAGATCGCCAGGGCCGTGGAACACATGGCCCAGAATAGTGCTATGATGCCGATGAGTGGCATTCTATCGTGGGGCCAACCACACTGAACAGCACCTCCCATCCCCCAAAGGAAAAACCCTCCTCTTGAAGGGCCTAAGGGGTGGAAGGGCCCCACTCTGAGAACCTGGGTGGGGGGTGTGGTATTCATCCATTGCTGGCCCCCACCTCCGTGGGCTCCGGCCTCAGGAGGGAAGGGCTTTCAGGAAGAGGCGAAGGCAGTTCCATGCCAGACCCCTGGGGCAGAGCATCGTCACCAGGGGTGACACAGGGCCCCTGCCACCCCAGAGGGCCCAGGCAGCTCCAGCACTGAAGGGACCCAGCAGGGGCTGCCAGGTCAGGGCTGGTATGAGCTGCCTGGGGCCACCACCTTGACAAAAGACCACACGGGGGCTTCAAACACAGATCCAGGCTCTCGTGTTCCGTCGGTGGCCCATGGCTGCTCAGGGAAGCCCTGGTTCCCATCGCCCAGTGCCCAGAACCCTGGTGCGGGACGAGGGCAGAGCCGTCAGGCTGGAGGTAGCCTGCCTCCTGCTTAGCCCGACGGGCTTGCCACCCAAGGGGCATTTCTCTGAGGACTGTCCTCTCTTCGTCCTCTCTAGGGCAGATCTGTGTCCCCCGGCTTCACCAGCTGTGTCCGCGATCCTTCCTAGCGAGCCTGAGCCTGCATGCTACGACCTGGGCATGGCTCTGCTGGCATACAGAGGGACCTACTCGGTGGACGCGCTGCTGGGAGCCTAGGCCAAGCCAGCACAGGTGAGTGTACATGGCACTGGATCCTGTCCCCATGAGGCCTGAACCTCCTAGGAGTGCGCCCCCTAGTGCTCACATGGGTGTGGCACACGGCTCTGCCCACAGCCGACATCCCATACCATTCTGAGCCCCCAGACTCCAAGACCAGCTCCCTCTGGTGGTCTGCAGCCAGCTCTGCTTCAGGGATAGCCCAGGCGACAGAAGGTAGGGCTAGAAGGGAGGGAAAGGGGGCAGCCTGGGGCCTTCTGCCTGGTTTCCTGGGTCCTCTAGGTCTAGCCTCCAACCTGAGGGTGCTCAGGACCCTTCCTTGAAGGCAGGGAAAGCAGCGAGTAGGCAACCCAAGGCTGGGCGTGGGCACACAGAGGCAGAACCTGGGAGCCAGCCACAGTAGCCCAGTGTGGCTCCCCCTTCTGCTGGGTCCCCAGGCACCCTGAGAGGTGGCACGCACACAGCCTTATTGCACAGTGTTTCTTTAATTGAAAGACAACAATCGACCTCAGAAGCAGCCCCTCCTCAAGCTGGGTGTGATGGTTTGAAACCCCCACCAGACCAGAGGCCAGAAGGCTAGGGGAGGGGAGACTGAGCTGTCATGGGGGGAAGAGGGACAGTGAGAAGCATGATGGGAACTCCAGTGGGACAGACCCTCAGGGTCTGGCTGAGCCCAGGGCTCCACTCTTGGCTGTGGAGGAGCGGGTGCAGCACCTCCCTCTGCTGGGTTCCAGAAGGATCACCCAGGCTTTGGGTGAGCCTGGGCAGAGTAGGAGGGCAGCTGTCCCCCACTCCTGCCTGCCTGGGTAAGGGCTGGGCAGAGCCCAGAGAAACAGAAAGCAGACCTAGCCCAAGGATGTCAGAAACGAGGAGAGGGGGACAGACAGAGAGAGCTGGACAAGACTGGTCCAGGGGCCAGGAGACCCAGGAGGCTGCCCTGGGGGGTCATGAACTTGCAGAAGGATGGCAGGGGGCTGAGGAGGACAAAGGTAGCCGGATGGGCTGAGGAGTGATGTGAGTCTGGCAGGTGGGGTGGGCTTAGTGGGGTCTCCATCCTTGATCCCCCCAGACCCAGGGACCGTTTTCCTTGGACTGGAGCCTCAGATCATTTGCTTTTGGGGTGAATGGGAAGAAAGCTTGGTGGGGGGGTGCCTCTAAATGGGTATGATGTGGGTGGGCAGGGGCAGCTCTGAAGCCAAGGGGCATGTGATGGGGCTCAGGCGTCACGCCCCACCTGCACACTTGGGAGCCAGGGTGGGGGTGTCAAGGGGCCGTGAGTGTAGGGTGGGGGTCGAAGGCAGGGCTTGGCTCCCTTGCTTTGCTGCCCCTTCAGTACACGTGCCATGCACCCCAAGAGACCCTTCCCAGGCCACCACCACAGCGGCTGCCACAGCCTCTACTTTTTATAGTTGCCAAACTGGATGGCCAGGCGGTCAGTGACGCAGCGAAAGGTGGCCGGCTGCACCTCCCAGTAGGGCACAGGGTTGTTGAAGAGGCTGATGCCGTTGTAGTAGGCCCGCTTGACCCCGAAGCCCACCGGGCAGAAGTCGTTGACGCCCACCTTGGTGATGTTGTTGGTGTGCAGATAGACCACCTGGGGACAGAGAGGCGTGGCTCAGGGCAGCAGGCCCCCTTGCCCCCGCCCCCAACCCTGTCCCTGAGTCGACCCCGCTTGCGGAGCCCAAGCAGCGGGCAAAACCCACAAGGCTGGTGCCCTCCATGCCAGCCGAGTCCTGCCCGGCCGCCTCAGGGATTCATGTGCTGCATCCATACGACCCTTTGAGGGCCTGGAGGTGATTCTTCCATTGTCTGGAGGAGTACAACCAGGCTTGCGTATGGTTGTCAGGTGGCTGTTGAGCAGTGTTCAGGCACTGGTGTGTGACCGGGTGCTGGGATGGGGGGTTAGTGGGGTGGGTGTGAATGGGGCTGTTGATGTGGGAAGGATGCCACCCTGGGTTCACACAGTCCCTGGCCTTCCTCTGGGTTCCCTGGACTGAGGGTCTCTTCCTCTTCCCAGTTCTCAGGAGCTCTTGCCCCCCCAACTCCCTGAAGGCTCTCTCTATGGGACTGTAGGGTGGGGGGCATGAGGACTGTCTGATGGGGTGGGGCGGAGGGGTGCGGCATGGAGGGCTGCAACAGTGCCTTCTAGAGGTGGCAGGATATGGCCACCAGAGGGCACTGCCGCTGTAAGTTGGCAATCCCCTTGCAGGGCAGGGTGATGGACTTGCCCCGACTGGACAGCCTGCAAGAATGGCCAGTCTCCTGGCATGTAGGCAGAGACTGAGGTCCAGAGCAGGCCCGAAGAAGACCTTGAGAGGACCCCTTGATCCCCTCATCAAGCCACTTCCTGCCCAGACTGTTCCCCAAGCCCCTGGGCCTGTGGCACCTTTGTGGGGTCCCACCTACCCAAGAAACTCTAATACTTTGGTCACTTGATGCGAAGAGCTGACTCATTTGAAAAGACCCTGATGCTGGGAAAGATTGAGGGCAGGAGGAGAAGGGGATGACAGAGGATGAGATGGTTGGATGGCATCACCCACTCAATGGACATGAGTTTGAGTAAATTCTGGGAGTTGGTGAAGGACAGGGAAGCCTGGTGTGTTGTGGTCCATGCAGTTGCAAAGAGTCAGACACGACTGAGAGACTGACCTGAACTGAACTGAACCCACCCGAGAGACCTTGAGCTCAAATATCTACCAGGCTGGCTCTGGCTCATCCTGCCACCTCGCCACCCCTGTACCCAGCCTCCTTGCTGTCCACAGTGCGGTCCCTACTCTGCCCTTTCACTTTCTCAGCACCTTTCCAGATGAGGACCTGGAGTCACCAGCCAGAGCACACATCTGACCAGTTGCACAGCGAGGTCCCGTTCTGCTCCGCGATGGGTCCGAGCACTGACAGCTAGGGTCTCAGCAGCTGCCCTGGGAACATCGACTGCCCCCTCCCCTCACCGTGTGTTAGAAAAACCTGGCTCTCACCTGGAGGAGCTTGAGGTCTGGAAGACCAGCCGGTACCCTGGACAGCTTGTTGTTGTCCAAGTGCAGCTCCCGCAGCGTGGGCAGAAAACTCAGGCTCCCGTTCTCAATCATGCGGATCTGGTTGTGGCCCAGGCCCAGCCTGGGAAGGGATAGATGAATAAAAGACGATGTAATGGGGTCCGTGGGCCACAGGGCACTGGGTGGACTCAGGGCCCCCTGAGACACCCCCCTCCCCAGCCTACCTGTACAACTTGGAGTAGCGGAGCAGATCCTCTAGCTCGATTGCCTGGATTTTGTTGTGGTCCAGGTGGAGTTCATTGAGGGTCTCGGGGAGGTCTGCCAGGAAAAAAGGATCCTCTGAGTTGAATCCAGGAGGGAAGACTGTGGGGTGGGGGAGGGCTGGTCCTGAGTGTGTGTGTGTGTGTGTGTGTGTGTGTGTGTGTGTGTCTGTGCACGATTTCACTCCTGATGGAGCAGAGAGCCAAGCTCTGCCCCAGGATGGGAGAGGGGCAACCAAAGCCCTCCCTGAGTACACTGGGTGGTGGCTCCAGATGGCTCTGGGCCCCTTATCTGGGCCCCCCCCCTGTGCCCCCCAAAATGTGGGAAAGAAGGGCTGCCTCCCTACCTTTGGGGATGCCAGTGAGCTTGGCCTCGGAGATGCGAAGGTAGTTGAGCTTCAGGCCATCAAAGGCTCCAGGTTCAAAGCCACTGTTCTCCAGGGGGTTCCCACCCATCTCTAGGAGAGAGGCTCTCTCAGCCCTGAAGCCAAGGCTAAGCATCTGTCCCCATACCCTTGGGGCCTGTTGCTTCCTAAGGGGCCCCCACTAAGCACCTGCTCCCCCATCTCCCCCTGAAAGCAGTGCCACTAATTTACTGGATGAGCTGCAAACTCCTTGCTGTTGAACACCACGAACTACCAAGGGCCCTGGGCCTGGCATGGGCCCTCGGGGACAAGGGGAGCCAGCCCAGCTTCTCCCACCTGGCCCCTGGCTGGCAGGCTGTGCCACCTCTATACTTGTCCTTTCCTTATGGGCCTGGGTTTCTCTTCACCTGGCCTTGGCAGCTCTGGGGTGTGACCCTAGGCAAGCCTCCAGAACATTGTGAGGCCAGCTGGCTTGTCCATGGCACCCGGCTGCTCCGGCCGTCAGAGACCCCCTCCTTGACCCTCCCCCTTCCCTGTCCACCCTCACCACAACTGGGGGCCACCACAACCTCAGGACCACCTGAGGACCACCACAGGGCGGGCCTGACTCACCAATGCAATTCATGTTGCGAAGCCCACTGAACACGCCCTTGGGCACCTTGCGGATGCGGTTGTCATGGATGCGGAGCTCCACCAAGGAGCTGGGCAGGTTGGGAGGGATCTCCACCAGGTGGTTCTTGGAGATGTAGAGCTTCTGCAGCTTCCGCAGGGGGCTGAAGGCCTTCTCGTGGATCTTGGAGATCTTGTTGTTCACGAGGACCAAGGCCTGAGGTGGCACAGAAGGCCTCAGTTCCCCGCCTGCCTGCCTGCCTTCTCCTCTCCCCTCTTCCTTGCTCCTGAGGTAGTGATTCACATTGTCAGGGCTTCACAGATGCTGGAGCCCCAGCTCAGCTTCCAGGAGATCTACCTCTGCTCATGGCAGAATGCAGAGCGGGAGCCAGCACTCAGGTCCAGCAAGGTCGCTGCAGCTTGTGCCCCGGTTATCCTACCTGCACCCTGGTTGCGATGCAACCTTTTCTTACTGAGTTGCTGGGAGGAGCCAATAAGATGTAAAGGTAACAGTCAACAGAGAGAATTGGGCTGGGTGATCCTGTCCTTCCCTGGTGGCTCAGAGGGGAAAGAGTCTGCTTGCAATGTGGGGAGACCCGGGTTTGATCTCTGGGTGGGGAAGATCTGCTGGAGAAGGAAATGGCCACCCACTCCAGTGCCCCTGCCTGGAAAATCCCATGGATGGAGGAGCCTGGTAGGCTACAGGCCATGGGGTCGCAAAGAGTCAGACACGGCTGAGCAACTTCACTTTCCTTTTATCCTGTCCTGACATTGCACATGTGCCCATGACCCTGGGTGCTCCCACCACAGCTGCCTCCTAACCTCTCTCAGGACTCCCTGGGTCCCTGGTCCCCTCTCACATTGCACAAGTGTGTGCCCACACCCATCGGGACCCCACCCTTCCACACGCCCATCGGACTGCAGGCCTGCTGCCTCTTCCCAGACCCTTGGAAGAGCCAGGGTAGGCTTACATAGAGGTGCTGGAGGCCTTTGAAATCATCTTTTCGGAGCTCAGAGATGTCATTGTTCTGCAGGTCCAGCAGGGTGGTGTCGGGCGAGATCTCCTTGGGCACAGCCTTCAGACCTGGGGGCCGGCGCAGCAGTCAGCAGTGTGAGCCAAGGCCACGGCCAGAGCCACAGCCCCAGAGGGGCGCACATGGGGACCCTCACGTGGGGACTCTGCGGCCGCAAGTGGGTGCAGCTCCAAGGCCAAGGTTGGACACTTTTCCCTCCCCACGTTCTTTCAAGCAGACCCAGGGACACCCTCCCACAGTGAAATCAGGATCCCTGGGCTGGCTCCGGATCACCCCCTGCCCACCCTCAGCCTTCCACATCCATTCGCCACAGACTGACCCAGGTCGGAGCACTGAACAACCCGCAGATGGCAGTGGCAGCCAAAAGGGCACATGGCGCTGTAGGTGGGTGGGAGGGAGTCCAGGTCTGGGATGCCCGAGGTTGTTTCTGCACCCGAAGCTTCCTCATCATTCAGCATGGGCAGCCCATCGTCCAGGGTGAAGTCCCAGAAGGCTTTTTGCTCAAAGGGCAGGGCCTGGCTCAGGGCCAGCAGGGCTGCAAGAGGCCACAGGGGCCACATGGTGGGCGTGCCTGCAAAGCCAGGGTGAGGAGGGGCCATCAGAGGAGCCCAGCCGATGTCCATGCCCAGGGGGCTGGGGTTCTGTGTGTGTGCTGTCCTCATGTCTGTCACACCTCCCCAGGGCAGCCAGACCCTGGGCTGGAGTGGCCAGGAGGGAGGTGTGGGTGGGCAGGAGGCCTTGGTCAGGGTGGGAGCATGGCTGGCTTTCTTCTGTCTTGCTCCGTTTCCAGGCAGGACTTGGCCACTGTGGGCCATGCCCTATCTTTCCAGTTAGGGAGTCTGCACCCCTCCAATGCACAAGCACACACACACACATGCATTGCCCCCCTCCCCGCACAGGACACTGAGTCAGCCTCAGCCTGTGTGTGGGGGGATCAGGGAGGTTAGTGGAGGTGGCAGAGAGGGAAACCCAGTCCTCTGCCACCAAAGACCTTGAAGAGTTAAGACTGAAAGATAACCACGGGGGCCAGGGCCAATCCTTTCCTGCCTGAGCCCCCTTTGCAGTGCACCCACATTTTTCTAAGAAAGTCAAGAGACCAAGGCACCAGGGTGGGCATGCTGGGCAGAGCTGGGCTAGCCCTGGAGCAAAGTAGAAGAGGGGGCATCCTCTCAGCCCATGTGTGGAATGCCAGAGATCGAGGGGGAACCCTGACTTCCCTCCACATCCTTGCTGCTACTGGGGGGCCTTGGCTTCCTCCTATGGCCCACGAAGCCTTTCCCTGCCTTCTATCCACGGCCCAGCCCCCTGGAAAGGCCACTGGAGGCGAACAGGCTACTGCCAGGGTGGCGGGCATGGTCAGGCTTGTCTGGAGTCCCCCAGGCCAGGAAGCAGGCTGAGGGTGGGAGTGGGGGGAAAGCAATCCTGCCCGAGCCTGCCCCTGGTGCCCATATCTGCCTGCCTTCTCCTCCTCCAGCAGAGGCTGCCCCCATCCACACGGGCTCCTCTAGCAGAAAACCTTGTCTATGAAGAGGATGCCCCCTTACCCAGATTTCCTGGGCAAGCCCCAGCCTCATTTTCCCAAGTGTGACACAGGGATACACGTGCCTGCCTTGCTTGTTTCCCAAGCACAGGGTGTCTGGGGTTGCCCCACGTGCGGACCTCAGCCCTACCCCACAGAGGCCCTCACTTGGGGCCCATCTTGGCCAGGGGAGGGGTTCTTTGGGGCTTCAGAGGGGTTGGGGTGAGCCCCCCCGAGCCTGATGGCTGGCTGCAAAGTGGGGAGAAGCCCTGGGCAGGCCCAGTGGATGTGGGGCTGGGCTGGTGGCCTGGGGGGCTGCTGCCTTGGAGCCCTGCCACCCTCAGGCAGTGGGAGGGCCTGGGGCCACTTGCAGACCTGTTGGCACAACAGCTCTGCCCCTGGGGTTCCCATTGATCGCCATCTGGCCACCCTCTCTCACACCTCTCTGGCCCCTCAGAGCTGGTCATGTGACCTGTCCTGGCTCCCACCTTTGCAGCAGCTGGGGCGGGCAGTGCGTTTGGCAGGCAGATGCTGGAGGTGGGGGGCGGGGTCCCCAGGCTGGGGGTTCAGTGGCCTCAGCATCAGAGTCAGCCCCAGAGCGCCCCCAGCAGGCCGGCCACCCTTCTTGAGTGTGCAGCCCCCACTGATAGACTCAGAAAAGCCGCCTTGCCTCCCAGGTCACACAGCAAAGTGAGGGTCCCTCCTGGTTGGGGGAGCCCCTGGCCTTCCTGGCTCCTTTGGGCCTTGAGCGCCCGTGGTCACACTCAAGGTCCCACCAGCCCTATGCTGGTCCCATAGGACTGGGGGAATCTCCACCCCACCCCACCCCCAGCCCCGAAAGTCTTGGCACAGAGTGGGGAGAAGACCCTGGGTTTGCCTACCTGGACCACTAGTCCCTTTTCCTTCCCACAGGTTTTCAAAGCACAGGGCAAGGTAGGGTGGGCCCAGGCTTCCCAGGCACGGCTGGACACCCAAAGTTGAGAAGAGGAAGTGAAGGGGAGGATGAAGGCAGCAGGGCGAGATGGAGCAGGAGGCGGAGGAGACTGCTCCCCCCTCCCCTGGCACCCCTCCCAAAGCCGCTACCTCACAGGGGGAATGAGTCAGGGCTGGAACACCCCACTGGAGTCTTGGGAGGCTCTGGGATCCACCATCCACCTGGACGGCTGGGGTGGGGTGGTCCGGACAGGCCTGGGGGACCGGGAAGTCCTGGGGGCCTCCACAGGGAGCCTTGGCCTGGGTTTGGGCCCTCCACATGGAGTTCCCAGGCAGAACTAGCCACTGAGGCCCTATGTGGGCTCCTGGGACCCTCCGTGGGGGTGACAGGAGGCTCCAGAGGAGTCAAACCAGATTCCAAGGTGCATCTGGGGCCCCCACAAAGAGGCTGAAGGGGGGATGCAGGGTGGGGAAGGGCGGTCTCCATTGGAAGCTCAGTCTGAGGGAGAGGGAGGCTGAGGTCTTGAAGGCCCCCAGAGCCCTCAGGGCAGAGGACAAGGTTTGGCTGGTTCTCCCTGGCTCCTGGCCAGGCCCAGGCAGTGGGCAGGCTGGCGGGCTTTCCGCCACAGCCCTCCTTTCCCCACAGAGAACTGGCAAGAGACTCAGCGCCCAGAACTGTGCAGAGGGGAGATGGGCCGGCTGCATACCAAGCCTGCCAGAGACAATGAAAGACACCCCCGGGCCTCAGGGCCAGAAGGAGCCAGGGAGGGGCCTGGAGGGGGCACCCAGGACTGAAGTGCCATTTGATGGAAGAGAAAATGGAGACCTAGAGAAAAGAACCCACCTCAGGTGATGCCAGGCCCCCAGGTTTTCACTATGGACACAGAGGGTGAGAACCATGGCTGGTCCCCCCAGCCTAGCCATACCTCCGGGCCTCAGTTTCCCTTCATTGGCCCCCCTGGGTGTGTCCCCGAGGACTTCAGGTGGCCTTGGGCCTCATCAGGGGGTTCTCTGAGCTTGACGAGCTCCACCTCCTCAGAGCAACGGAAAGAAGTGGTGATGGCGGTGAGGCCTCAGGCCAGGCGCCCACAGGTGGGAGTGAGGACCGCCCCCTCCCCCCCCAACATGGCTCTTCTTGTCTGGCCCTCTGAAAGGCTGCGCAGTCCTCTGACTGGGATGGCTCCAGGTCCCAGCCAAACAAGACGCACTGGCAGCCACTGAGAACACGGAGGGGCCATGCCAGGCATTCACGCCAGGCCAAGGGTGGCAGGAGCGGGCCCTGAGGTCTGGCAGGCCCTGGGAACTCACTTACAGATGTGTGGCCCACAGCTGCCAAGTCACAGATGCCGGACGCCTAAGCCCAGTGCCTGGCTCCACCGAGCAACCCGACCTGAACTCGGACACACATGCCATCTTCCACTCAGCCCTGCTGGTGCCCACTTTTCTGTCCGCTTCCCTCCCAGAATCCAACCCATCATCCCCTGCACCCTCCAGCTCTAGTCTCCCCTTAGGTGGCACCTAGACAGAGGGCACGGGTGCCATCCCTGGGTCTTCCTGAAGCTGATGTGTGTGCGCGCATGTGGGGATGACTGTGTGAGGGGCTGGTGGCTGCAGTGGGGGTTGGGGTGAGCCCTGCCCTGCTTGTGTCTCCACCCCAGCCACCCCTGAACCCACCGCCATGGCCTCAACACGCCTTCCAGCTCTGAGGGGAGCGGGCATCCAAGTGTGGCTGGCCAGGGAGGCTCCTTCCTGTTGGGTCCTGTGCCCCCACAGCCTTCAGGCACAGACTCGACCTGGATGTGGGCGTCAGAGACCCACAAGGAGCCAGCCCATCTGCTGCAAGGAGCTGGCCCCGGGCCAGTGGCTGGTGCTACCTAGGCCAGACCTCTCTCCCCACAACCCTGAAGACACCCATCACACCCCCATCCTGCTGGGAAACCTCTGGAAGGCGGGAAGGTCTAAGGGCTGGCCTTCCGCCGTGCCAGGAGTTAGACAGGAGATGAGCCAGGTCACCTGGTCTTTCCACCCCAGAGCTTTCCTTCTCCCGCTTGCTGAAGAAAGCCCAAGGGAGAGTGAGGGTGCTGTCGCTTCCCAGGGGTGCAACAGGAGGCCCAAGTGATTTCCTAACTCAGCCTTCCCCAGGGCCAGCAGGAAGTGCTGTCTCTCCCATTGCCTCTCCCCAACTCAGGCTGGAGGTGATGCTGATGGAAAACAGGGCTCTGTCCTGTGGGTCTGGAGGCCCCAGGCTTGCATCACGCAGCTTCTGGAAACATAGCATCTCTCAGGCCGGCACCATCAATAGTTCCCCTCGGCCCGTGGGGACAGATGGCCCTGCCCCGCCTCCAGCTACAGGGAAGTGGCCTGGGAAAGCCATCATGGCACCCTGGCCTGGAGAGTCCCCCAAGCCTTTAGGTCCCAGTAGGCGCCGGACCCCACAGGGAGATGTTCTCAGCCCGGCTCCCAGAACCTGAGGCCCTTGGCTGCCTTGCTCCCTTGTGGGACTGGGGGCTTGGCTTGGGGTGGAGGTCACCCTCTGCAGCCAGCCTAGGTCTTGCCGGACCTGTGACTTTCAGCCCCTCCCAAGGCTTCCCCTCCGTGTGGTGGGGTGGCCTGTAAACCCCTAGGACCACCATCAAGGCCAAACTGGAACTGAGACTGTGAGAGGATGGAGGTGGCACCCAGCTCCCCAGCTGTCCCTGTCTCCGGAGACAGGGCTCCCAGAGCCAGTCTCCCTTTGCCCTCTGGCTCCTTCAGGTCCCAGTTTTGTTGCCCAAATCCGTGATCCTTTGGAACCTTGGGCCTCTGACCACTGCATCCCTTTTGGGCCATCTGATTCTCCTAGAGGCTGCTGGTGGGCAAGACGTGGGGGCAGGTTCACTGTTGCATGCAGCCTGGGACCTCTCCCAGCCCACTGCTCCGTGTCCTGCAGCTCTGCTCCATGCTGCGGTTTCTGCTGGCTTGGGCCTTCACGCCATGGACCAGGAGAGCTAGGTGTGAGCTGGCCGGGTGGAGCCCCAAGGCCCCTAAACCCCGAGATTGGATGTGTTACCCAGGGAGAGGAAGGGGGGAGTCGTCAGAGTCCCCGGCACCTTTGGTGGGCTTGGGATG